TCAGATGTGTGCAGCGCATTTTATGGAGGACTGTTTCCTGATCCTGGGAGAGTAGACTACAATGCCGGCTGTTCTGACTCACAGACTGCAAGTACGTTTTTATATTTAAAGAATTTGCTACTGACGATTCAAACGCGAGTTTTGGGCAGTGTAGAGTAGCGCTTGTTTGTCATTTCTCCGATCACAAATGCAGACATGGTTTTATGTTTACGCGGCGCGATGCAATGCGTAAAAAGACAGTATAAGTCATTATAATCCGTAATTATGTCCCCACTGGATGCAACAAACGCCTCGTTTATAATGGGTTCTAATGTTTTTGTCTCGTCGCTCTGGCCGGACAGGGCATCATCACAGTATGGTGAGGGGCGTAACATTTCCGTCTCACGCTTGAGGTATTCGGCCAATCACAACACACTGGATAGCTGTCCAATCAGAGCACACCTCGCTTTTCAGAACGATGAGCTTTGTAAAAATCCACGTGTTTCAGAAAGGTGGGGCATAGAGGAGAAACAATAATGTACAGTATGTGGAAAATAATGTGTTTTTTTAATCTTAAACCGTATAAACACATTTCATTACACCAAATACACAAAATAATGTTCTTTTTAGCAGCATCGTATGACCCCTTTAACACACATCAGATCAAGCCGAATCATCACCAGTTTAATCGTGATGACTGTGTCAGCTGTACCTCGCTCTCTCGATGGCCTCCGTTCGGTGGACGTTGCTGAGCTGGCCGAGGCAGAAGCGATCTCCTCCGGAGGGGTCCACGTACCCGTCGACGGTCACGATCGGACAGGACGAGGGAACTTTAAACGTCTCGCCCACTTGAACGTCCATCTCGAAGTAAGCGATGGAGCACCAGTACTCTGGAGCTGCCCGAGATCAAGGGATCATTAGACATCCGAACACGACCGAAATGAGATTTGAACAGAATTAAACTCTTACAAGGGTGGTTGGAAATCGGAGGCTGAAAGGCGATTTCATTGTGAACGGGCCCTGAGGAGAAAATAACATGCACTGAGTCCACAGAGATGCACAATATACTGGATATCTACAGAGTTTTACAATCCTGCACAAATTAAATGAATACTGTATGACCAAACCCATATAAATCATGTAAATAAACCATGCATCTCAGATTGTTTTACTTGGTTAACAGGCTGTGGCACACGTTCAACTACAAAACAGCTTAAAAGTATTCAGTCGTGTAATGTAAAGTATTTTTTGGGAGTATCTGTACTTTGCTTGAGTTTTTATATTTCAGCCTACTTTTACTTCGATACATTTCCCCGAAGCATATTCGTTACTTACTACAAAACAGTCAGAAGAACACGGACTGCAGGAAAGCAGGTTTGACGAATCAGTAGTCTGGCGTCTGCAAGTTAGACTCCTAAAAACACCTTTGCTCGTGCAAACAAGTGCACGCAGAACCGCGGATGTTGAGTCGAGTCTGGCGTCTGCGATATACATCTACGATAATATGGTAAGTGTTGTTACATTATCAAGTATGCTATATCACCAGATCACACACACCGAGTGCACGCACGTGATTTATTAGTCTATTAAAACTCAAAATTCAAGGTATTCTAAATTGTAGACGGCAAAAAATGCTTCTGTATGCTTTTTATATTTATATAATTTAATATAGTTAACTATCTCAGCCAAATATTGTCCGATCCTAACAAACCATACATCAATGGAAAGCGTATTTATTCAGCTTTCAGATGAAGTATAAATCTCAATTTCAAAAAATGTACCCTTATGACTGGTTTTGTGCTCCAGGCTCACATACAGAGATTCCAACTATAAACAAAAAGCACAGAAACTGCAATTTTGGCTAAAATGTTAAGTTGTAAAGATGTATTTGCACAGCAGAAGAAGGAATCGGATGGTGAAGTGCCTGAAGATTCCCACCCCTAATAACAATCAGTTTAATCGTGATGACTGTGTCAGCTGTACCTTGCTCTCTCGATGGCCTCCGTTCGGTGGACGTTGCTGAGCTGGCCGAGGCAGAAGCGATCTCCTCCGGAGGGGTCCACGTACCCGTCGACGGTCACGATCGGACAGGACGAGGGAACTTTAAACGTCTCGCCCACTTGAACGTCCATCTCGAAGTAAGCGATGGAGCACCAGTACTCTGGAGCTGCCCGAGATCAAGGGATCATTAGACATCCGAACACGACCGAAATGAGATTTGAACAGAATTAAACTCTTACAAGGGTGGTTGGAAATCGGAGGCTGAAAGGCGATTTCATTGTGAACGGGCCCTGAGGAGAAAATAACATGCACTGAGTCCACAGAGATGCACAATATACTGGATATCTACAGAGTTTTACAATCCTGCACAAATTAAATGAATACTGTATGACCAAACCCATATAAATCATGTAAATAAACCATGCATCTCAGATTGTTTTACTTGGTTAACAGGCTGTGGCACACGTTCAACTACAAAACAGCTTAAAAGTATTCAGTCGTGTAATGTAAAGTATTTTTTGGGAGTATCTGTACTTTGCTTGAGTTTTTATATTTCAGCCTACTTTTACTTCGATACATTTCCCCGAAGCATATTCGTTACTTACTACAAAACAGTCAGAAGAACACGGACTGCAGGAAAGCAGGTTTGACGAATCAGTAGTCTGGCGTCTGCAAGTTAGACTCCTAAAAACACCTTTGCTCGTGCAAACAAGTGCACGCAGAACCGCGGATGTTGAGTCGAGTCTGGCGTCTGCGATATACATCTACGATAATATGGTAAGTGTTGTTACATTATCAAGTATGCTATATCACCAGATCACACACACCGAGTGCACGCACGTGATTTATTAGTCTATTAAAACTCAAAATTCAAGGTATTCTAAATTGTAGACGGCAAAAAATGCTTCTGTATGCTTTTTATATTTATATAATTTAATATAGTTAACTTTGTCTATATCACACAAAGAGTACCATTTTTCTGCAGATATCAGCATGAACACATTTAATAATCATTTTATACAAGTTCAGTAGAGTTAGCAATAAGTGACTTACATTTTAGATGTAATATTGCTTGTTTTTGCTCAATTTTGGCAACTAAAATAGTTCCAAGCAAACATCACAGCACTGTTTTGCGTCTCTGAACAATGGTGTTTACTTATTGAATGAATCAGCTTTTTGAACGAATCGTTTGAATAAATGATTCAGTGATTCACTCATTAACACAGTCAAATGTTTTGTTTCTGAATGAATCCGCGGTTTGAACGAATCGGTTGAATAAATGATTCACTCAACCAGGTCAAATGCCTTGTTTCTGAATGAATCAGCGGTTTGAACGAATCGGTTGAATAAATTATTCAGTGATTCACTCAACCAGGTCAAATGCTTTGTTTCCGAATGAATCCGCGGTTTGAACGAATCGGTTGAATAAATGATTCACTCAACCAGGTCAAATGCTTTGTTTCTGAATGAATCAGCGGTTTGAACAAATGGGTTGAATAAATTATTCAGTGATTCACTCAACACAGTCAAATGCTTTGTTTCTGAATGAATCCGCGGTTTGAACGAATCGGTTGAATCTCAGTGACTCACTCATTAACAGTCACTTGCTGCCACCTACTGGAGGTTTTAATTTCACATTTCAACTTTTTTTCATGTTTTAAAATAATTTCAAATAACAGTATTCAACGTTTTATGTTAAAACCAAAACATTAGGCCTATTTATGCATCTGTAACTGCAGGTTAAATGCATCCATGTCCCCTCTGAGATACATAAACTGTGTAAAAACATCTAAATGCTATTTCAGATGCAGATTCCAGAAATATTTTCTAATGTTGGAATTAAAGACACTTAAGTACCGGATGAAGTGCTTCTTATTCTTACCCAAAAATGCTAAATGGAAGAAAGAGATAAAACTGAACGCAATCTTGCTACTCAAGCCGTGTATGAACACTTTTATTTTTTTAATATTTTATTTTATATTTTTAACATTTTTAAATATATATATATATTTATTTGCTTCTTCTCCATTTTGCATTTACTTGTACTTTTACTTTCAATACTTAAGTACGTTTAAGATTTAAAAAATACTTTTCGTACTTAAGTACAATAAATATCACATACTTTAAGACTGTTACTCGAGCAATATTCTAAACGGTGACTTCAACTTCTGCCAAAGTCATTTTCTGGTAAGATATCTGTACTTTTACTTGAGTATGGCTTTCAGGTACTTTATACACCACTGAAAGTATTTAAGCTTAAAATAATTAAGACATGCTTTATTCAATATATACATGTTTTTTGTATTGTAGATAATCATAAGTGTATATGTTATCCCTTGTTGTATATGCTACTGTTGAGGAAAACACCAGACAACTGTTACAGCAAAAATAAATACATATTGAAATTGGTTTATGTACTAATATATCACTACATACAAATTAGAGGTTGATCAATATTATTTTCCTGGTACGATAATGACGTGTTTAACCTCGTCACCCGTCCCCTCTGAATGTTTTCGTTCATGAATTATAAAAATTAAAGTTTGGATCGTGCACTTTCACGTCTATGTTCAAAAATGTGAGTGACAGTTAAAGGGTTAAAGAAAGCAATAAACAGATTATTGTGCCAATAATGGTAAAAAAAATATGTATATATATATATATATATATATATATATATAAAACATGATAATGTACTTTGTCTCCTTTCTGTGATGGGTGGTGATTATTAAAATCCATTTTACTTTTCCCCAAATTCCATTATATTTATTTGTTTATTCATGTCTTCAAATTCGGTTTTAATACAATTTTTCCCCCGTTTATTATTTTTGGACTCCATTTAAATTCAATTTAAAAAAAAAAAAAACATGTATAATTAATTGAAATCATGAAACATATTATTTAACTAATAAATTAGTTAAAAGTTTAATTAAAAAAATAAATTTTTAGAGCCTTATGAAATACAGTTTTTTTCTCTTCAAATTCAGTTTTATTTTTACCAAATTCTGTGTTTTCCGTTTTAATTTTCCTGGATTCCATTTGAATGGTTTAATTTAATTTAAATAATCAAAAATCATGTGTAATGAATTGAATTCATAAAAAAACAACTTGATTTTTTTTCCCCTCCGTATTTAATTTTTTAAATTTTTTTATTTAACAATAGCACCCTATAACTGTTTAGTTTTTTTTTTTTTCAGAAAATCTGTGCTTTTTTGTATTTAATTTAACAATAATAGGGCCCTATAAACTGTTTGTTTTTTTTCCAGAAAATCTGTGCTTTTTTTTTTGTATTTACATTTTTCCGAATTGTAATGTTTCCTAATATAGTCACTCTGCTTTTGTGTCTAACGACAGGCTTTAGACGTGACGCCGCAGCCTCTTGCACCTTCTTCATTATAACATCCAGAAGGCCTGTTGTGAAGCTCTAGACTGGAGCTCAGTGTGTTTCTATGCTATGTTCCGGCTGAGATGAGGTGAGACACTCACAGTAGTGCGCTGGATGGGTCATGGGCGGGTGATGCTGTAGATGGCCGTTCTGATGGTGAGGCACAGTGGGGGTGAAGTTACTGTTCCTCGTCCAGCTGGAGCTGGTGTCTGTGGACAGAAGAGCAGAGAGCGCACGTCTGACACCGGACATCAGGTTTACTCATGCTCTGGATACTGAATACAGGAGATGCTGAAAAGCTTTCGGACTCTAGGTGGAGCTGCTGGGTGGAGGTTCACTATGTCTTACTGTGATGGTACGTGGAGGGCTGGCCGGGGGGGAAGCCATTCTGCTGTGAGCCCTGCCCCGTCCCAGAGGCAATCTGCAGCAGACCATCGCTGCTGTGGCTTCCTGAGAGAACGCTATTGGGCTGAGCTGGGGAGAGAGGGCGGCATGCGGGTCAAAGACGTTAAGATATCCGCATCATTATATGTCCATAGAAAGCACATTAAATGTAAGTGCAGTGTCTACTTTTAAGGTTCCAAATAAACAAAATGTCAAAATTTGGTTGAAATAATGTTACACTGTCATTCAGTGCAACACAATATTTATGTAAAAATTCAAACATGCTTATTCTGACCTGTACATATAAAAATATATAAAAGAATAAGGGACCATATTAAATTTAATTGTGTTTTAATTGAGTAAAAAAATCTTACTGACAAATGGGCAAAACCTAGGATAGTGGCAAATTTAAAAAATGTAAACTAATTAGTATTAGATGTCCGCATCAAAAGAAATTTACAAAAGTGATTTTATGTCCATAGAAAGCACATTAAATGTAAGTGCAGTGTCTACTTTTAAGGTTCCAAATAAACAAAATGTCAAAATTTGGTTGAAATAATGTTACACTGTCATTCAGTGCAACACAATATTTATGTAAAAATTCAAACATGCTTATTGTGACCTGTACATATAAAAATATATAAAAGAATAAGGGACCATATTAAATTTAATTGTGTTTTTAAAAAATAAAAAATTCTTACTGACAAATGGGCAAAACCTAGGATAGTGGCAAATTTAAAAAATGTAAACTAATTAGTATTTGGGGTTAAAGTAATTAGTCTTTTAATGTGTCATAAATTGATTTTTGTTGTAAATATGCCTGACAAGATTGTTACACTGAATTACATTTTAGTGCGTCTCTTCTGTAAATCAAGGAAAATGTATATTTATTTTTTGCTCAGAAAAACAAACAATGCAATTAATTTAAACAGAAAACGTTTTAATTTTTTGGGGGAAAAACAACAACAATTTAAAGCAGTATTACACTTTGTTTTTATGCTTAAACCCTTTTTCGTCTTTGACCCATGCACACATCAGCACACACCACAAGCATGCATCACTGTACGAGCGATTTAATATCATGGCATTGATACAAATCATAATATATAGCGATGCACTAAAATCCTGCCAACTGAAACCATTTTGGAGAGCTAAAATCAGGTTTAATTGCATGCACACGACGTGGATAAACTACAACAGGTAAACAAGCCAGCTGTGTGAACGCTAGGACTGAATTAACAATGTAGATTTGTCATTCTGATGAAGCGAGATCTTTTAGTCTGTGCTGTTTTCTGTTGATGCATGAACAAAACTTCACTCAACATTAATTACTGCATGCCTACCATCAAATAATCGCATTAAGCTTTGTGCTTTTTTCACTTTTGATATGAAACACAAACAAGAAACAAAATAAATGTGGTTTTGTCGCTCTTTAATGTGAAATAATGAAACATTTAAAACAAATTAATGAAATGTGCAAATGTGTTGATGTAAAAATGTGCAATTTTAATTTTATATAGAACTCATTTTTTATTTGAGTGTTAAATTAAATTTAATCAAAACATATCTGATTTATAATTGATTATTAAATAAACTTTGTTTTCGGTTTTTGGCTAAATGGATGTGTTTTATGTTTTTATATTATATTGTTACATACATTAGGTTAGATTTAATTAAAATGTAAAGAGTACGTAATTTAGTATAACACACATATATAAAAAACACTACATACTCATATTTTAAACTTAACCTAATGTATGTTTGAATAAATCCGTCGTGAACAAATTATTACAGCCACTGTTAAATGCAATTAAAAATATTATATACGACATTTTTATTGTAGTATTGAAGTAGAGTATTGATTCATTTGAATACATTTGATGAATTGAATATTAAATAAACTTAGTTTTTTAGCTAAACAAAAACTTTAATGACAGCTTTCTGCGTTTTTGATTATGGTGCATCACTAATAATAGTTGTTTTTTGATGCATAGATGCATTTATGTTTTATACCTTACAACAGCTGAAGTCTATATTCAGTAGCAACGAGAAGCTCATGAGTTAGATTCCCAGGGAATGCATGAACTGATCAAATGTATGCCTTCAATGCAGTGTAAATGCACAGAAATACATTTGCATATGTGACCCTGGAGCACAAAACCAGTCATAAGGGTCAATTTTTCGAAATTGAGATTTATACATCTATCTGAAAGCTGAATAAATAAGGTTTCCATTGATGTATGGTTTGTTATGATAGGACAATATTTGACTGAGATGCAACTATTTGAAAATCTGGAATCTGAGGGTGCAAAAAAATCTAAATATTGAGAAAATCATCTTTAAAGTTGTTCAAATGAAGCTCTTAGCAATGCATATTACTAATCAAAAATTAAGTTTAGATATATATACGGTAGGAAATTTACAAAATATCTTCATGGAACATGATCTTTACTTAATATCCTAATGATTTTTGGCATAAAAGAAAAATCTATAATTTTGACCCATACAATGTATTGTTGGCTATTGCTACAAATATACCCCAGCGACTGGTTTTGTGCTCCAGAGTCACATATGGATTTGCACATTCACATCTACAGGAAGCTGCTCAACACGTCCCACTCAGTGTTTTCGCATTAGCTCGTTTCCGTGTTGCTCTGGTGTGTAAATAACGTAAAGGTACAAACGCTACAGCAGAAGCTCTACGGTGCCCAGCCCTATTAAACAACAATCAAGAATACGACGCTTCCACAAACGAGAAAGCTTTTCAGCATGGCCTATGCGTTTGAGGATATGAGGGCGGGACTGTGACGTGTGTCGTACTTGCGGATCCCACCGCGATGCTGGAGAAGGCGGAGGTGGAGGCCGAGCCGCTGCCCTCTGCTGGCGGGAGCATGACAGGCGTGTTGAAGGGCTCCGGGGCCATCGGTCGAGAGGGAGGGTGTTGAATCGTCTGCATGTGTCCCTCAGTGCTGGGAAGAGACTGCTGGCCTTCATAATCATACTCATCCTTCACCATCAGACCCGACGGACCTGCAAACAATCACGTAGACATACACATTACAGCATGCCAAAATGAACCCGCATCTGATGCATCTGGATGCTAAAAACGGTCACTGATGGTCATTTCAGATGGTAGGCAAGTCATTACACGCTGACTGCACTTTTTTGACTCTTTAGGAGAATTCACAACAGTATGAATTTCTTTGACTCTTCAAATTGAATTTTCGTCAGTTTTCATCAACAACATTTTTTCCACAGACAAAAATGAGACGATAACTAAAAAAAAAAAAAGTTTTAAATGACAGACTTTATAACAAAAATCTATTGACCTTTGCATCGACGAATAAAAGCGAAGTTCTTATCGCACTTGAATGGACAAATGCACACACAATTATGTTGAAATGTCAGTTTTGGTGAGTATTCACGTAAACACAGTCGGTTATGTCTTAAATGAACATGAACAGTTGGGTTATTAGAATATCGGATGTGTCAGTAAATTGGATCCGTGCAAAAAAAATACATATAATTTAAACCTTCTATATATATATATATATATATATATATATATATATATATATATACATATATATACACGCACGCATAAATGTATAGTATTTATATATATATATTTGTGTATATACAGTGCTTAGTAAGGCTGTAATATAAGGTTTGTACCACAGCTGCCCTAAACTAACAGTATTGGTGATTACCAAAATCATTTTTTATGTTTCTGTAATGGTAAATCCTCCAGTGCGTGAAAGCTCTTAAGTCACAGTAGTGATTCTAATGCTAAAATATAATTGTTGTATCCATGAATTTTCAAATTTACGGTTTTATTTATTTTTTTATTCAGATGCCCAATTACAGTCAATAAATACAGTTTGTGCTTAATTTTATTAAAGAGAAAACAAATATTTTAGGAATCTGTCAAAAACAGTTTAAAACTAAAAATTGTATTGTCATTTATTAGGCAAATAACAAATAGAAACAACTAAATAGTCTTTATTCACATATAATTACCAAAAAACGTAATATTTTGCATGGCCTTTAGCCTTGATAACAGCTTGCATTCTTGCTGCACTGGTTTTATGTACTTTTCCACAGTCACTGTTGTTGACTTTAATTGGGCATCTGAATTAAATAATAATAATAAAGTGCTTTACTATTTTTTCTGCCTTTCTTGTTAAACAGTCAATTAGAAAATTCATGGATAACAACAGTAATTATATTAGGGCAACAGTGGCACAAACCTTACATTGGGTGGTGATGGTCTAATAAATTTGTTAAGCACTGTATATTTGTATGTAAATTAAAAATGGGTTTATATACATAATAGTGGGTCTTAAAGTGACAGCAGCCTAATACATCTGCTACTGTCTGTGCCCTTAAAGGGACATTTCACCCAAAAATAAAAATTCAGTCATCATTTACTCTCACTCATGTTGTTCCAAACCCGTATGCATGTCTTTATAGATATTTATAGATACAGTAGATGGTCCCCATTGACTCCCATAGTATGGGGAAAAAACTACTATGGAAGTCAATAGTGACCATCACCTGCTTGGTTACCAACATTCTTCAAAATATCTTTTTTAATGTTCCACACAAGAAAGAAACTCATACAGGTTTGCAACAACATGAGGGCAGGTAAATTTTCATTTCTGGGTGAATTATCCCTTTTAATTTGGAAAACCAATTATTTTTCAATAGAATATCACTCACCAGAGCCTGACAGTGTGAGTCCGGATAAGTCTGGAAGAAAACACAGGATAAGCTGACTTAAATCGAGGCCATCGTGAACGAGCTTCACGCTATTAAAACAAACATCAAACGGACCTATTCCTGGAGACACGACTCTCTCGTAATGGTAAGGGTTCACACACACGCTGTCACACTTCAGGTCAAAGGCAAACTGGCAGTACTTGACTTGTTTCAACTCGTTCTTATGAAGGTCCGGCCATCGCCATAACCGTGCATAGATGACATGTGGGAATCCTTTACGACCAGCCACCTAAATGCAGAAGAGAGTTACAGGAACACACACATATAGAGACAGATACAATCTGAAGTAGGGGTCGACCGATATATCGGCCGATATTTGGCATTTCTCAAATATCGGCATCGGCCGATACATTTTCTGTTTGGCCGATGCGTTCGAGGCGGGACTTTTATTTTGACGGTGCTGAGAGCAGCACCTGCGCACACAGTGCTCACATTCTCCCTCTTGTTCGCCGTTAACAGTTCTGTCTAATACGGATAGAAGTCTGTCTAATAATCCGATAGAAAGGAATTAAAATGTATACAAAAAGTATCATAACGATTGCTTTTATATCATTAATAGTAATAGAAAGGCAAACATTATAATACTTTCTTGTTTGCCGTCAGCATTCAGCAAATACGCATTTATATCATTTAAACAAATCTGTGAATGACTAATGAACATTTAATTTCAAAAACCTTGCAAACTTAGTCGAATCCAGTTGAAGTGTGCATGTGATCTGCGTGATCATGTGTTCTCTGCGTGACTTTCGGTCCGTGCATATTGAATGCTTTAAACATTAAATTCATGATTTCAAATTATGCTGCGCTTTATGCATTTGCCCACTGTCATATTCATGTCATTTTCATTGTGTGCTGTATGTAAAATGAGTGTTACCTTGGCTTTACTTGAACAAATATGATTCCCAATGCACACAAACTTCCCAGATTACTTAGTGCCCTGTTGGTTACAGTTTACTTCCTTTTTTAATTATATTTTTATTAAATATTTATTTATTTGTACAAAATACTTTGTCATCTAAAGTATAAGTGTTTATTTTACAAATTAATTTTTTTATCCATTTTCAAATTTCTTAAATATTAAAATAAATACAATTATATCAGCCATCGGCCACCCTGCTTTCCAAGCTATCGGCATCGGCTGTCAAAAAACCAATATCGGTCGACCACTAATCTGAAGAGTGTGGAAGCAGTCCTGTCGCACCTGCAGCCTGCCGTCTAGCGTTCTCTGTATGGTCACACATTTGCTGGGATGAGCGCCGTTGGTGGTGATGGCGGTGATGAGCGAATCCAGCTCGTCTTTCTTCTCCTTCAGTTTCTTCACCAGACTCTCAATGGCCCGTTTGGCGAAGGTCTCGCTCTCGCCGCCCTGTCTGTGACACATCAGACTGTGCACGATGCTCAGACAGGCATCGTTACTGGTGGGTGTGTTTGTGATGGACATCCTGCGCTGGTTATCGGCCTCAGAGAGGCTCCCGTGTGCCGCTTCTAACTCTTTTCAGCAATACACTGGCGCCAGTGAAGGGTCCATCCAAACGTCCCCTGCGGAAGGATTGAGAACGTTAATGAGCGACTGATCATTCCGCATGGTTTTACAGAAAACATTTAAAATTAGTTGATAAACAGATATATTATGGAAGCCTGTTTCCAGCACGGGATAAAAGAAAAGGTAATTTCTGCTTTTTATCTCCCAATTCTGCCTTTTTTCTTGCAATTCTGAGTTTGAGTTTGCATCCCAGAATTCTGACTTCTTTTCTCAGAATTGTGAGATATGAACTCTCAACTGCGAGTTATAAAGTCCAATTCTGAAAAATAAAAGTCAGCTCACAATTCTGACTTTTTTTTACAAGCGTATATCACGCATTTCCGACTTTATAACTCACAATTGCTAGTTTATATCATGCAATTCCAGAAAAAAAGTAAGAATTGCGAGATGTAAACTCTGAATTGCGAGAATTTTTTTTTTGTAATAATTTGAAATAAAAAATATGTAAAATACTAAATATATAAAACACATTATAGTAACATTAATATAATATAAAACCTATGTAAAATAATAAATGTATATATATATATATATATATATACACACACACACACACACAGAAAATACAATAGTATATAAAAATACACATTACATACACTGCCGTTCAAAAGTTTGTGAAAAGAAAGAATTGTAATGTTTTTTAAAGACGTTTCTTCTGCTCATCAAGGCTGAATTTATTTGATCAAAAATACAGAAAAAACAGTAAAATTGTGAAATATTATTATCATTTAAGATAACTGTTTTCTGTGTGAATCTCTGTTAAAGTGTAATGTATTTCTGTGATGCGCAGCTGTATTTTCAGCATCATTACTCCAGTCTTCAGTGTCACATGATCTTAAGAAATCAGTATAATATGCTGATTTATCAATGCTGGAAACATTGTTTTTGCTGCTGCTTAATTTGTTTGTATTTTTGGAACCTGTGATACTTTTTTTCAAGATTCCTTGATGAATACATTTTTTTTAATTGAACAGCATTTACTTTACATTTAATTTGAAAGTATATTAAAATAGAAAACTGTTATTTTAAATTGCAATAATATTTCACAATATTCGTTTTTTCTGTATTTCTGAACAAATTAATGCAGCCTTGATGAGCAGAAGGAAGAAACTTCTTTAAAAAATAATAAAAATCTTACAGATCCCAAACTTTTGAGCAGCAGTGTGTGTATAGATATTATAAAATAATATAGTAATAATGTCAGGAAATCAATTTCATATCAGGATATTGGTTTACTAAAGCTAAATGTGCTTGTTCATCAAAGTAAACACATGCCTGGAGTTGTTTAAAGCAAATATAAGCACCTAAAATAAATATTATAGAGCTGAAAGTGAATCTGATCAATACACCGACAGCACAAACATGGTGTTTACTGAGAGTTTACTCGGATAAAGCGTCTCACACCGCAATAATCCTTCACACACTTTTCTGCGAAGTCTTAAACAGGTGTAGAAGTGTCGTGAGCTCGTGAATGTGCTGACAGTGATGTATAAATGAGCTGAAGAGAATGTAAACAACGTGAGATCAGCGTGTTAGCATAACCTGCTACATGCTAGCACACGAGCGACGGTTAAGTTACTTCAGACCTAAACTTGTGGTACAGACAAACAAAACACATTTAAATATGAAAGCGGGTATTGAAATAACATACCTGTTATGTCTCCTGTGAACGAATCTGTCCAGTTTTGTTGGTTTTGATGTGAATCTTGTTAGCGCCTAGCGCGCTTAGCACTCTTCAGCCGGACTAACGCGATATCTACAACGATTTAAAGCGACAACAGATGTCAAGAGCTCTTCATCTGAGCGAGAACTCTGTTAGACGTGATGTGGCGCAATATTTTATCATCAGGAGGGCAAAAACAGACAGCGAAAATAAACAAGGTAGCCGCGATGGTGTCGACTCGCCTGCTGCGCAATAATATGGCGAGCCGCGCATGCGCACTGCGCCTCAACACACACCGCGCTGTGTGCAGCTGGCATTTCTGCCAACATTTGGCACATATACTGTCATGTATAAAGACTCAATTAATTCTGTGACTGTATTATATGCTACTATATATTATAGTTATCTCCTGTGACCTTTCTTTCTGTTTTAAATATGTTTTCTTTAAGTATAAGTATATTCTTTCGTTTTTATACCTGTACTGCCTTAATGGTTTGGTGTTTTCTACTGTTTAATAATAAAAAAAAAATCAAAATAAATCAGAAAAGATTCGCCACACGCGCTCCGAAATCGCGATTTGGATAATGATTCACGAACCAGCATTCAGATCCGAATCAAATCATTCGCGAACACGTTCCAAAGATCCTGACTTTAAAGGGGTCATATGATGCGATTTCAAGTTTTCAGACCGTTCAAGGCAATCCAGAATCGATTATTGGTTGATCTCTAAAACATTAATAAATAATAATATCTCTATCAATATTAGCAACAGTCCACTGACTGACCATAATGCCATTTCTATTTCAATTAATTTATCACAAAATACTACAATTAATACTTCTAAAGCGTCGCTTTGGAAACTAAACCGTTCTCTTCTTAAATATGAAAAGATCAAACAGCAGATTGATGAATTAATCCAAACTTACTGGGAAAGGGCTGAATCAGAACAAGCTTATGGATGGAATTGGGAGCTTCTAAAATATGAATTAGGGAAATTCTTAAGAAAATCTGGAAGTAATATAACAAAACAAAATAGATTAATTGAAGCTGAAGTTCTTTCACAGCTTTCTGCTTTGTCATTTAGGGAACCATTGACAGAGACTCAAAACACTGAATACTCCAAGCTACAGAATAAATTAGATGAGTTGTACAGATCCAAAGCTAAGGGAGCCTATGTTAGATCCAGGAAAAAAATGGCTGGAAGAAGGAGAACAGAACTCAGCCTATTTCTTTAGGTTGGAAAGATGCTATGAATGTTTCTATTGATCGTCTCCAAACAAATGATAGAGTTCTTGATAATCCTAAAGAAATCACTGCTTATTGTTCCAAATTCTATAGTAACTTATATACATCAAGATATTGTGATAATTCAGCCAACTCGTTTTTTGACTCTGTCAATCAAAATAAAGTTATTTCATTAGAAGATAAAGAAGCTTGTGACGGCGATATCTCTCAATCAGAAATTCTACAGGCAATTAAGAGTTTAAAAAATAATAAAAGTCCAGGAAGTGATGGTCTAACCGCTGAGCTGTATAAGATGTTTGACAAAAATGTATCTCCTTTCTTATTAAAAGTGTTCGAAGAAAGCCTTGAGTTGGAAGCACTTCCACCAACCATGACACAAGGAGTCATCACCCTGATACCCAAACCCAACAAAGATCAAGAGTGTCTAGAAAACTGGAGGCCAATCACCCTCTTAAATAATGATTACAAAATTGTAGCTTTAGTTTTAGCAAGAAGAATTAAAGATGTCCTTAACTCTATTATCGATGAATCACAATCAGGTTTTATGGAGAAACGTCACATTACGAATAATATAAGATTAGTCTTAGATCTTCTAGATTACGAGGATCTCGTTCCTAATGACAGTTTCCTGCTTTTCCTAGACTTCTACAAAGCCTTTGATTCGCTTGAGCACAAGTTCATATTTCAAGCTTTTGACATATTTTGGTTTGGAGATTATTTCTGTAAAGCCATCAGGACCTTATACAGAAATAATAATAGTGTTATTAAGTTAAAATTCGGAACCTCACCAAGATTCGATTTGTCACGTGGAGTAAGACAAGGCTGTCCTATATCTCCATATTTATTCTTACTTGCCTCTCAGTTCTTAGCTCTGCATATTTCCACTAATAATTTACAAGGTATCACAATTGACGATAGACAAATTATTATTAGCCAGCTGGCTGACGATACTACTTTATTTCTGAATGACGCCTCCCAAATCCCTTTAGCTTTGAGTTTGATTGAGTCCTTTTCCAGAGCTTCAGGTCTCTGCCTGAATATCAACAAATGTGAGTTAATGTCAATCAAACGCTGTGATCTTTCCTCTATATGTAACATTCCTGTGAAAGATCAAGTTATATACTTAGGAATTTTAATTAATAAAGACCAAAAAGCAAGATGTAATCTAAATTTCGACCCTCTAATAGTGAAAACCCAAAGAAAACTTAACTCGTGGCTGCAGAGAGATTTATCAATAAGAGGAAGAATTTTACTCTCTAAAGCCGAAGGATTGTCTCGACTGACTTATGCTGCTCTTTC